TAGTTTTAAATAATTTGTACAAACAATTGTATTTCGCTCAATCGATCCTCTTTGTATTTAAGTGTTGTCGTTTGGGACTTTTGTCCCTCTTCTCTTCAGAATAATACAGGTTTTACTGGGGATGCCTATGTTCTGCGAAGTTAGCTTGACCTTGCACCTCCTTGGCAGTAGTACTAGAAAGATTGGTGCTTTGGCTTGTGACATTTGAGGATAGTTAACCCCTATTGTTCGGCTTGTGGTTTGAGTTTAAACTTTACTTACGTCTATTGCATATTTTTCCAAACTCACCATCCATTATCACTTATGCTTATTAATTTATCATAGTTGCTTGTCAATGCAAATCCTCAATGTTTCTCCAAATCTGGTATTAATCAAACTCACAATTCACTTGTTTAGTACTCATTAACTGATTTGGAGCTCAATGTTCCGTCAATTCTCCCAATAATCACTCTTGTTGGCAATTGTGCCGATATTTTCGATTAGTCGATCCACAAGTCTTAACAATTTTGACAAAAATCCTTGTAGAGTTGTAGTTGTAGTGTGACAATAGACATTGGTAAAGAATCGAAGTTCAGTGACCAATTTGTCAATTAGTCCCAAAGTTCAGTGGCGGTTTCTATAACCGGCCCTCAAACAAACGGCCGTTGCTTGCTAGTCCCCAATCTAAGAACTCTTGATAATTGAATACGTCCGTATAGCCGTCCACATGCTTTCTTGTCACCGGTTGGCGGCCCTGGAAAGAAATGACACTAACGAATGACAAATATAGAGAGAGAGCCCTCACGCCATTCCGACGGTAAAGATCTCTACTTTTTTCAGCTATATATAAAAGCCGATTTCTCTGCCAAACCAGGAACACAGAGGAACTGAGCAACACAGGATAGGACAAAGATAAAATTGATGGCGTCGTGGAATTCATTTCCCCTGGAAATCACTTACCAAACACTGGGCTGGCTCGCTTTCGTCTCATGGTCCATCAGTTTCTACCCACAGGTCATCTTGAATTTCCGCCGCAAGAGGTAACAAAGAAACAGAGCAAATTATCGGCTCCTTTTTCTCTCTAATCTTTCATCTCTCTCACTGTGAATTTTGATTTGCGTTTGTATTGACCTGGTAGTGTGGTGGGGCTGAGCTTGGATTTCCTGCTGTTGAATTTGACCAAGCACTCTTCGTATTTGATATACAACACTGTGCTCTACTTCAGCCCTGCTGCCCAGCAGCAGTACTTCGAGAAGTATGGCCATGAACAGGTCACACTCTCTTCACTCTGAACTTGTAGATTTCCACTGTATTTTCTCTGCTAATTGATGTTTTCTGTAGTGGGTTTGGGATGTACTTGCTCAAAGTTGCAGTCTTTAGCTCAAACTTCATCTAGGTTTAGGGTTAGGTTTTGGAATGAATGATCATATAGAGTATATAGAGTTTGAATTTAAGGTTACAGAGATTCAGAACATATTTACACGATTGTGATGATTAGGGAGATTGAATTTTGGAATTCTTCAATAGAATGGGCTCTGATAGTTTAATATAAGTTGGAACGTTTTGGATGCTGTTGCTAGCTAGCTCTTCTATTTCTCCCCAAAGTCTGTGATGAAGATAAAACGTATTGTTCTTACAGATGATACCAGTTGCTGCGAATGATGTTGCTTTCTCCATACACGCTGTTGTATTGACTGCAATCACGCTGTTCCAAGTCTTCATCTATGAAGTAGGTGGTTTTGAATTCTCTCATTCAGTGGATTGTTTCAAAACTTCTACATCTTTGGCCAGGCCTAATCCAAGCTTGTTCTTTCTGCTCGGAACAGCGAGGAACTCAGACAATCTCCAAGATCTCGATAGGAATAGTCAGTGTAGTATGGCTATTCGCTGCAGTCTGTGTCTTCGTTGCTTTACCTAGCCATTCTTGGCTATGGCTCATCTCCATCTTTAAGTAAGTTTGCTCCTTAACCTCTTTCATGTCATAGCATCTTCATAGCCTATGTCCATTAATGCTTAGTTTCACTGTCATTTGGCTGTCAGCTTCATTCAAGTCTCCATGACAGTGATCAAGTATATCCCACAGGCAGTAATGAACTTCATGAGGAAAAGCACTGAGGGGTTCAGCATCGGCAACATTCTGCTTGATTTCACCGGTGGTGTTGCCAATTACGGACAAATGGCTACACAATCGATCGACCAAAGTATGTTGTTCATTCCTTCCTCCATCATAATATAAGTATATAACCAACCGTTTCGCAATTTAGGCTTACTGAGGTCGAGCTGATTGAACCACCTTCCTTTGCCTGTTACAGATTCTTGGGTGAACTTTTATGGCAACATAGGGAAGACATTGCTCTCTTTGGTATGTAAACTTACACAACATATATATATATATATATGGTGGCTACTTCGGCGCACTCACTTTTTTTGGTGCACTCAGTGCACCCACTCTAAAAGTGTCCATATTACATCATATTTTGAACTTTAATTAGTACTCTCAATTTAATATGATGATATGACATAGAATCATAACAAATCAATCAATTACCCTAACCCCTTAACCTTCAATTTTGAATCCCAATCCAAAATCCCAAATTGTAAACCTAAACCCTAACCCTAAATCCCTAAATCCTAAATCCTTCAAATTAAAGTAAATTTTGAATGAATTTTTTTCAAATTCATGTGCTTCTTGTTCATAATATCATAAGCAACAATTGATACCGTTTTGACATGAATCGCATAGTTAGAATGGCAATTATGAGGCGGGTGCACTGAGTGCACCCAAAAAAGTGGGTGCACCGAATACGCCACCATATATATATATATATATATATATATATATATATATATATATATATATTTTTTTTGTGGGTAGAATACACAGCTTATCTTTGAAGTTAATCATGTTGAAGGCTTTCTTCTAAAGATGTCATTTCTGCTTGAATTTTTCATTGCAGGTTTCAATTTTCTTCGATATTTTGTTCATGGTCCAACATTACATTCTTTATCGACCGAAGAAAACGAGTGGTATCAATGAGAAGGCGATGGACAAAGGGAACAACGATCCACTTATTGATTCTTCTGATGATCATCAGCCACAAGCTTCAAATGTTTGAGTCTTGGACTTCTAAGTTTTTAAGTAAAGGGGTGTCAATTCTTGTAAGTAAGGCATTGGGAAATAATATGAAATCCAACTTGTTTCAGCTTTGGTTTTAGTAGTTTTCGTGAAGGTGGTTGGTTGATAACCTCCCAAATTTTAATTGAAGTTTACATATAGCACAATCTCACGTTATAAAATCGCTATACTCATCAAATCTTGATCTGACTAGCATTTGTGTGTCGATTATGTCATTGTAACTAACATAAGTCACTCTAAAACTTGACTCCACCTTTATCCTACAAAGAATTTTTAAAATGTCATAAATTTAAAGATTGCCAAAACTGTTAAAAACATACAATGACTTAGCAGTAGAAGATATTATCGGATTATTTCAAAATAGATACTCTTACAGTTGCTTTTAAAATTCAATAATTTAAATTATCGTGAAAAATGTGAATTAACTGCTAAAAAAACAAAAAACAAAATGGGGATACTCCCCTATGTCTTCAGGTTACTCGCCTGTCATCAACGTCTGGTTTGATGGTGCGGCCAAGCGTGGTCAGGGAGGTAGTATTGGTTTTGTCGGTTTTCACGCCACAGGTAATGTTTTGTTTGCATTTGGAAAATTTTATGATGGAATCCATGACCCGTTTATCATGGAATGTTTAGCTCTACGTGATGCCTTACAGTGGTGCCTAACTCATTCCTTTCTTGCTGTTCATTTTCATGGGGACTCTCAACTGTTGATTCGACGGATGATTGGAGGTGACATGCTTCATGCTCGGGGTGGCGCTATTTTGGAGGACGCTAGGAGCTTGGCTTCTTCTTTCAGCAGAGTTTCTTTCTGTTTTGTTTCTCGTCAACTCAATAGGGCTGCCCATCTTGTGGCACAAAAGGCCCTCTCATCGGGAGTTCGACTATTGGTCGACTCCCGCGCTTATCTTGGTTCCAATTTGTGACTCTTGCTTTTCCACTGACTTTGCGAAAAAAAAAAAAAAACAGATAGGAAAGGAGCTAAGCCAACTTTGGTGGGTGTGGGGGGTCTACATTCTACATTGGTTGCAAAGAAGTTGACCTTGGGAACCAAGTTATGTTTTAGACCATTCATTTCAAACACCGCCCACCTTAATAAGGCAATCCTTGCTCCCCAAGGTCTCTCCTTTCCTCCCTCTTTCCCTTTCTTGCTATTATAAATACCAAAGCCATAGATCCATTTCTGCAAAATCATCCAATTACCAAAGGGCTCATAGTCCTGTAGAGTATATAGACTATAATCTAACCCACCTAACTCTTACATTATCAGGGTCGAGTCCTCACAGACTCCCTGTTTATCCTCCTCCTCTGTTTATCTTTACCCTCTTTTCTTTTGTTAAAGCAGTAGTTGTTGGTTGCTTCTATTTACAAGGTCAAAACTCCATCCAAAAATTATGAAGAGGGAAGGGAGGCAACATGGAATTGTGAGAACCTACCCGGTCTGCCCAAACCAACCAAATCTGGCCCGGCTCATCAAGAGCTCGAGCTCCCCTCCGATCGTCGGAACGTTCACTCCGGTCCCGCCCAAGCCCACCACCAACCACTCCAAGTACATCGGAAGATGCGGGACGCGTCACAACGGTAAGTCAAAGAACAACATCAAGGGGAGCCATAAGTTGAGGTGGCATGACGCAGTGTCCAATCACGGCGTAGCAGCTCGTTGGGCAGAGGAAGGCAGCCGGTTCCACTCCGGCTATTGTTATGGTGGGATTTCGGTTGCCGGGTTGTTAGAGAAGTTGGCCATTGATGCAGATCGTGATGATGGCGATTATCAGGATAATGATTGTGAGAACCCTTAGACAACAAACTTGGTTACTCTAATATTATTCGTACTAAGAAGCACCTCTAACCAAAGCCGATATCTTTATTGTTGTAACCCACCAAGGAATTTTTTTGAGGATGATGATATTGCAATGAAAATGTGGCAAAGATTGTTGTTTGATCTTTTCACAAGCTTGTTGCAACCAGAACCATGAATTGTGCTTTCTCATTTAGTAATTAAGCTAGCTAACAGCTGTGGCATATTATAATGAGAAAGTTCTTTTCAGTGGATCAACATTAGTCATTCAGATTTCAGAAGCTCAACCATGATATTGTTCAAAAGATACAAGAACTAATCAGCTCAGATTCTATGAAGAGTAGAAAGAAAGATCAAAGAAAATGGGTCAATGGTTAATGACATAACAAGGTCAGCTTGGCCCTCTCTGTGGACAGTGGTACTGTTCTATACTGTGAAGCCTGCTTCACAAGATCTCACCCCCCCACGAAAGAACTTGCATCTAGCAATCTTCAGGTTGCTTGTTGCTGGATATTTGGACAACTATTCTCCGCAGCAGTTGCTCTCAGTCTCGCACGTAGGCACCGTGGATTGTTGCAGCTGTCGTCGTTCTTCTTCACATTTCTGCCACTGTTCTTGCTTGAACTTCTCTGAACAATCTGTGGAATAGTACTAGTATTCTTCACCATTTTTGCAGTTGAAGTCTCTGGTTCTTGTGATGGAGAAGGATGTGTCAGTGGAGCCTGCATGCAGAATCGAGCACAGATTAGCCCCAGAACGGGAAATGTGAAGCTACTAAGCGGAAAGATGGAAACTTTCGGTTATAACCTTGTCCATCTGGTTCTTTGGTGTTACTCTTTGCTTATAGAACCCTGGCAATGGCCTGGCCTTGAAGCAAAGGCTCTTCCTCAGCTTTTTCATTTCTGTTTCTGCCTTCTCCTACAATTGCACAACCGTTGAATGAAAGTAGACCTATAGCGAATATTGAAGACTATAGAAGGCGGTATAGCAATTGATAAGAGAGAGTATTAAGTGGAACAGAATAGATCCTCCACTATGTTACCGTTTGAGTGGTTCCTTGTTTGTAGCACCCTCTACGTAGGATTTGCATTTTCTGTTGCTGCTGTACTTGTATAAAAACCAATATTCAGTAATGTAAAACTCAGATTTCCAGAGACAATTTCATGGTATCAGAGCTTCAGTAGACTCCAACGAGTGCTCTGCTGTTCTGATTCTTTTTCTCTTCTTCCCCATCCCTGTTTTTTCTTCCTCTGGTTCTTCTTCCTAGTCGCTCTAACTATGTCGACTATTTCCAGCTCCACCTCTTCTTCTGCAGCAGCTTCTTCTTCTTCCTCTTTTCCCATCTCTTTACCTTCCAATCCCCAACTGTCTGTGAAATTGTCACCCACAAATTACTTTTTATGGAGAGCACAGCTTCAACCTCTCCTTCGATGTTATGATCTTGTTGGCCATATTGATGGCTCCCTCCCTGCACCGCCTGAGAAAATTGCCGATCAGCCCAATCCTGCTTTTCGCGAGTGGTATGGGCATGATCAGTTGATCCTTATGTGGATCAATCTCTCCCTGACTGAGGCCGTCATGCCGCATATCGTTAATAAGCACACTGCGAAGGAGGCTTGGGACACGTTGGCGGCGGTCTATGCCGCTGGTTCTCCGGTCGTTGTTGGCCAGCTCCGCCGCGATCTGCATCACCTTCGCCGTGGAACGGACTCGGTCCATGACTATCTTCTCCGCGCCAAAACAACTTTCGACAAAATGGTGGCGATGGGTGATCCGATTAAGGAGGCCGAGCTGGTCACCTCTGTGATTGATGGTTTGGACGAGGACTATCGTCCGTTCACCCGGAATCTCGAAGCCCGCCTTGAACCGGTGTCGTTTGCTGATCTCAGTAGTCTCCTGCTCAGCGAGGAGTTGCAGATGCGTCGCTTTCAATCGGCTGCTAGCGGCGGCGCTTCTCCCCAGGCGTTCTATGGAGGCGGTAGCGGTGGCCGTGGCCGTGGTGCAGGCCGTTTCAATCGGCAGCGTGGGGGGCGCTATACTGGCCGTGGTTTTTCTTCCATGGGCCGTGCTATTACTAACCCCTCTTTTGCAGGTAATAGGCCCATGTCTGGTGGTCCAAGGCCCGCAGCGGCTGGTGTCTTAGGCGCTGGGCCTCTCGGCCCACCTCCCCTTGTGTGTCACAATTGTGGGGGAAGGGGGCATACCAGGCCCCATTGTCCAAGCCCACTCTACCAGCCTACTTATTCCTCTGGCCCATCTTCCAACTTAGCCCAATCCTCTCACCCAGTTCTCCAATCCCAACAATGGCTTCTTGACTCCGGGGCTAATCATCACCTTACTTCTGATCTCGATAATCTGGTTCATCACTCTGAGTACACTGGCACCGATCAAGTTACGTTTGGCAATGGTAAACAACTCCCTATTTCTCATTCTGGCTCCTCTCTTGCTACTCTTTCCAATACTTCTTATTCTCTCAATAATATTCTCCGCGTTCAAAATGCTCCTCACAATCTTCTTTCTGTCAGTTCTTTAACTCGCACTAATCCCATTTCGATTGAATTCTTTGATTCCTATTTTGTGATCAAGGACCGCCGCACGAAGGCTGAGCTTTATCGGGGATCCGCGACTGATGGACTCTATTCTCTGCCTCTTCATATTCAAAGTCGCGCCGTTCCTCAAGCCTTCACTGCCTCTCTTGATTTGTGGCATCAACGATTGGGTCATGCGAATCTTCGTGCTGTTAAGCATCTTTTGTCTTCCAATTCAATAAAATACCATGATACTTCTGCTTCTCTGTGTCATGGCTGTTCTGTTAGTAAAATCCACAAACTTCCTTTTCCCTCTTCTCAATTTCGTGCCTCTGCACCGTTAGAACTTATTTGTAGTGACCTTTGGGGTCCTGCCCCTCTTCTTTCTTATGATCATCAATCTTATTACATATTATTTTATGATCATTATAGTAAATTCAGCTGGGTGTATTTTGTGCGCTATAAATCTCAACTCATGAGCGTGTTTATTCAATTTCGGCAAATGGTGGAAAAATTCTTCGGTCTCCCCATTAAAATTTTTCAATCTGATTGGGGTGGTGAATATCAAGCCTTGACTTCTTACCTTTCTGATAATGGCATTATTCATCGTTCCTCTTGCCCTTATACCCCTGAACAAAATGGTTGTGCGGAGCGAAAGCATCGTCATATTGTTAATAATGGGCTTGCTCTGTTACATCATGCTCATGTTCCCCTAAAATATTGGTCTCTTGCTTTCGATACGGCCTGTTATCTCATCAATCGTACTCCTACTCCTCTTCTTCACAACTCCTCTCCCTTCACTACCTTGTTTCATTCTTCCCCTGATCTTCTCAATCTTCGTGTCTTTGGTTGTTTGTGTTATCCTTGGCTGCGTCCTCTCACTTCAAATAAACTTCAACCTCGTTCTACTCCCTGTGTTTTCTTGGGTTATAGCCATCTGCATAAAGGTTATCGCTGTCTTGACCGTTTAACTGGTCGTATCTATGTCAGTCGCCATGTACTCTTTGATGAATCGGTCTTTCCATTTCGAGATACTCCTCCTACTTCACCCGATACTCTTTCCCCTGATGCTTTTCTACCCGACCCTATTTCCCTGCCCCATCCTCCATTTTTCCACGGCCCATCGCCTTCTCCTCCTGTCTCTTCTTCTGTCCAGCCCGCTACCCTCGCCCAGCCCCCCATGACCCCCCCATCCCCCTCCCAGCCCGCAGACCTTCCTTCCTTCCCTCAGCCAATTCAGCCCACTGAGCCCACTGAGCCCACGTCAGCCCCATCCCCTGAGCCCACGACACAACCCACAACCCAGCCCAATCAGCCCACCTCACCCGCTCCTTTACCTCAGCCCACTGTGCCAACAGCCTCTTCTCGGCCCCTTCTCCAATACCGCCGCCGACCACCTCCTGCTCCTTCCTCTCCACCGCCCCTCCTTCAGTATCACCGTCGCAATCACCCTTCCCGTCTTCCTGTCTCCTCCCCTGCCCCTTCTCTCCCCTCCACCGCTGTTTCCCCTTCCCATTCCAAACCAATTTCCCCAAGCCCTCTCTCGTCCAGACCTCCATTCAACACTTCTCCCCGCATCATCCCTGTTCCTGCCCAGCCCTCTCCTCCCCGACGAATGACCACTCGGACACAAACGGGTAAATTAAAACCTCGTCAGTTCCTGGCCACCGCTCCTACTGGCGTACCCACCACCGCTGCGCAGGCTCTTAAGTCTCCCCTTTGGCGTGCCGCGATGAACACGGAGTTTGATGCTCTCATTCGCAATCATACATGGGATTTGGTTCCCCCTCCACCAGATTGCAATATTCTGACCAATCGTTGGGTTTTTGCTGAGAAAACCAACCCTGATGGTTCCCTCGAGCGGCAGAAGGCACGGCTTGTGGCTCGTGGATTCCAACAGATTCCCGGTCAAGATTTCGGCCAAACATTCAGCCCCGTTTTGAAGCCGGCCACGCTTCGCCTCTTGCTCGGGATTGCGGTTTCCAACTCCTGGCCCCTTCACCAGATTGATATTTCAAATGCTTTCTTGAATGGAACTTTGCAGGAGGAGGTGTATATGCAGCAACCCGTTGGGTTCGTCGATCCCGACCGTCCTGATCATGTCTGCCGTCTGCGGAAATCTATCTACGGCTTGCGGCAGGCTCCGCGGGCATGGTTCACCTGCTTATCTCAGGCCATTCGTGAGTTTGGTTTTGTTGCTTCCAAGACTGATCCTTCACTGTTTATCTACCGCACTCCCACTACTGTTCTGTATATGCTTGTGTATGTGGATGACATAGTCATCACAGGCAATGATTCTGGACTTCTTCAGCAGCTCCTGCTTCATCTTCGGTCTAAATTTGCTCTCCGTGATCTTGGCCCGTTGTCATATTTTCTCGGCTTGGAGGTCCACTACACATCAGACGGTCTTATTCTCAGTCAGCGGAAGTACATTCTGGAACTGCTGGACAGGTCAGGGATGTCTCAGTCGAAGTCTATTACTACACCCTGCACAGCTGACCAGCTGATCCAAAGTGCATCAGACGTCTCTCCTGCCTTCCATGATCCAAGTTTCTACCGGAGCATTGTGGGGGGCCTTCAGTACTTGAGTTTCACCCGCCCCGACATATCCTTTGCTGTCAATCATGTGTCCCAATTCCAGCAATGTCCGACCGATGCTCATTGGGCAGCCGTGAAGCGAATACTCCGTTATCTCCAGGGCACACTTACTCAGGGTCTTCTTTTCCAACGATCCTCCAAGCCACAGCTCCATGGTTATTCCGATGCTTCTTTCGCCTCCTGTCCCCGTGATCGTAAGTCGATTTCTGGTTATGCAGTCTACTATGGCCAGAATTTGGTTTCCTGGTCTACACGAAAGCAACAGGCTGTTGCTAGATCATCTACCGAGTGTGAATATCGAGCTCTGGCCACGGTAGCGTCTGAGGTCATTTGGCTTCAGGCTCTTCTCACCGAGCTTGGACAGTTCACTACAGCCCCTGTTCTTTGGTGTGACAACCTGGGAGCTACCTATCTAGCTCATAATCCCGTCTTTCATTCTCGCTCCAAGCATCTTGAAATCGAGTTTCACTTTGTCCGGGACAGAGTTAACAAACAGCAATTACATGTGCGTTATCTTCCAGCCACCGATCAGCTTGCTGACGTACTCACGAAGCCACTGTCTCGCATTCCTTTCCGGACTTTCTGCTCCAAGTTTCACCTCGTCGAGGTTCCACTTGCGGGGGCGTGATAAGAGAGAGTATTAAGTGGAACAGAATAGATCCTCCACTATGTTACCGTTTGAGTGGTTCCTTGTTTGTAGCACCCTCTACGTAGGATTTGCATTTTCTGTTGCTGCTGTACTTGTATAAAAACCAATATTCAGTAATGTAAAACTCAGATTTCCAGAGACAATTTCAGCAATAACTATACCTTGCCTGTTGCTTGTGACTGAACCTTTTGAGCTTGATTAGCATTGAACTTCTCTTCCAGCTTCTGTAACAAAGCATCCAAATTCCAAAAGGGTACAAAGAGATGGAAAATTTCAATCAAAGCCACCTGGAAACTCAAATCTTTCATACTGAGCTTGCTTTAAAGCTCACCCCTTTTCGTCTTGCAGCTCTTTCTTCTGTTCTCAAGCTGAAAGGCGTAGGAAAGCATGGTGACTGCTGGGATTTGTTTCTGCTGCCACTCATAAACTTCGAGCAACTGCCATAAAAGAAACATATTTCATTTGTAAATCTTTGGTTATTCATTCAATAAAAATGGGGCTTCATTCTAGCTGGATGACTATTACTCTGTAGGTAGGAAATGCCATCTTGGCCTAACTGCCTTGCTTCCAGAGGCTGATGCTGCTGCTGATGGATGAAGAGGTGTTCTTGCCCAGAATTCTGACTGTGGGGTTGTTGTTTCTGGGTGATTCTTAGATTCTTCTCTAGATGGAGTTCTGAATGGAGTTGAAACTAATGAGCTATAATCTTTAGCCATCGTAGGCTTACTCGAACCGGCTCTAGAACAATCAATCTTCCTGATGATGGTGGAAGTTATTCTATTGATCTCTCTCACAGGAGTGAAGTTGATGGCCTTATTCTGACTTGATTTTGGTGTCGACGATCTCTTGTTGACTGGAGTAGTAGTAGCAGTCAAGCTTTCATTTCTGGCTGCTGGAACTTTTCTTCTTACAACCAAGTTGCTTGAGAAAGAAACTGCAGGCTTCTTCTTGGTGAACGAGTCAGAATCACTTGCATTAGAGATGAAATCCTGCTAAAAAAAATGGACATAAGCTCAAGCTAAAGATCCCCACTTGAGCTAAAAGTACAAACTGTTCTATCTTTGTTCTACTTACCTTCAACAATGGCTTCTCCATTTGGTTTGTACTTTCCCCTTTGCTCTCAATAGCTTCAACTTCAGTCAAAGCTTCTACCTTTGTGCAAGAACTCTCGACAGCTTCGTTTTCGGGTGGTGGGTTGGGTTCATTGGCCTTGTTTGGTTCACATTTACTGAAGCTCCGTGCAGAACATTTTGACTTTGTTCTCGTTACCTTCAACAATGGCTCCTCCATTTGCTGTCTACCATCACTGCCCTTAAATGGTTCAGATTCATTCGACTTCCGTGAGGAACCTTTTGACTTTGTTCTCATTGCCTTCAACAATGGCCTCTCCATCTGCTCTCTACCTTCATCGGCCTTAACTGGTTCAGATTCACTGGACTTCCGTGCAGAACCTTTTGACTTTGTTCTCGTGACCTTCAACAACGGCTTCTCCATTTGCTCTGCACCATCAAGACCACCATCTCTATTACCTTCCTCCTTGCTCTCAACAGATTCAACATCAACCAAAGCTTCAATCTTTACCCCAAAACTAGGGTTTGGTTCATTAGCCTCATTTGGTTCTGATTCCTCCATTTCCCCACCATTCCCCTGCTCAAGCAACGCTGCAGCTGCTTCTGCGGCGGCCTTTCGAGCAGCGAGATTGCGGTAATGAGCCTCGAAGAAGGCTTTCTTCTCAGCCACCGAGCCAGGGCGGGAGAATTTCTCAGCTTCTTCGACATACTTGTTGCTAGAGAAAGTCGACCATTTCTCCCATGACAAAGACTCTGAAGTGAACCTCCCAAAGGAGACAGATTGCCCCAGTGAGCTGATCAAGTTCCCCTGCATTATAAAAGGTCAAAGCCTTATAATTTCTTTTTCCCTTACCAAGATTGATTCCATGAGGAACCTAGCAGACAGAAATGGAAGAAGAAGAAGAAGAAGAAGAAGAAGAAGTGAAGTGTGGCAGAGGAAACATACCTCTTTGGCTTCATTGGAGATGCCTGCAGTGTAAGAGAATGGCTGCTGCTGCATGAGACAGGTAACTGTTTCCCCCATGAGAGCTGTGGGGTTTGGAGCTTTGTGGGTGATGAGTAAATTTGGGAAACCTCAAAGTTGCCCAATGTTGGACTTGAACCTCATTAATGGTTTTTTATTATGTCGTTTTGGTACGATGAGATTTTCTCATGGGAATGGTGGTTAGCCGTTCAAAAATTTTGAATTTCAAAACGAGGGGAAGTGCAAGAAAAAGGTTGTATTGGGTTGGGACAAGGCAACAAGAGAGGAGAGGGCACCACACAAAATAGAAAAGGAGCCTGGTCGTGGTGGATGTGATGATGATGTGGAAGCAAAGCTTTTCCAGCTTTCTTTTTATTCAAACAAGGTGTTCAGGACAGTGGAAAAGAGATAGTTTTAATTTTGATTAGTACCTTTAATTTTGATTGCTTAAGACAATATAATTTGAGTTATTGTTCAGGACGATTGTACTAATGTCTTTCCTCTTAAATCTAACACGGTATGTTTTAATTGTCTGAACGCTCCATAATTTACACCGAGTTACGATCGTTACTTTAAATTATCTTTTTATAGGACGAGCGTATAATTAATTTTATCTTTAAAAATTAGATTAACTCAATTCATTCATCCTACGATTTCCAAAACACTTTCCTCTAATTTGATGACCATGCTCATTTTTGTATGCTATGTTGGTGACACTTGATGCAGTTTACCCCAAACTCATGATTAATTACTCATATTTTCCTAATGAGAAGGGAGCTTAACCACCACTAAGTGGCCCACCATTGTTGACATAAGAATGGGAGAGAAGACATAAGGAATCCTTTCAACGTCCGGATTGTTAAGTTTGTGTTTAAATCTAGGGAGACAAATCTATGCTCATGGCTCTAGGTCAATTAGTCCCAAAGTTTTAAAGATTCTCTTTTGCACTAATCATGCTTTTGGGAACCCCAAAACACTGCCCTATTCCTCGTATTACCCTCTCAACAATACTCTATCCAGTTGGGATGTTAGACTCATATTGCACCTTATCAAATTTGAATCATAACCCCACTCATGCTTGAAAGTTGTCATAACAATTCCTTTGACAATTTGGCTAAGGTGTAGCCGGGATTGCTTGTGGGGCAACTCAAGAATGAAGAGATACTTGTGCAGTATCGTCTGTCTGAATGAAAATAAGTAAGATGGTTTGCCTAGCTAATCATGTTCACAACTTAAGCAAATACCATTTGAAGCGAAAAAGGGTCAGTGACCAAGAAGGTGAAGAAGTGCTCAAGTCCATTAGACAAGGCTAAGAATGAGTATGATTCCTGTGCTGACCGTGAAGTGAGTAGCCTAGAATCTGTTGAAGGTCAACCAAGAAAAAGTTCAGCACATTGGACACCACCCTATACACACCAATCATATCAGAGTATTCAAATGTCGACCCCCCAGAAACACAAAGGGTCGAAAGAATGAAGCCCTGGGCATGGACACAATACAACTCTACAGAATGCTCTCCACAGTGAACAAGTGCCGAAGTAAGCCAGTTATCCTCGATTTGAACCTGATAGAGAAAAGGGAAGAAATGCTTAGTTGAGCAGCTGCCACCTTTCAGAAATCATTATGGTGACGAAAAACTGTACCTTAAGATAAGATGACGAGCCCTAGGTATATAGATGCGCAGAGAAACAAGAATGATATCATTCCCCTACAAGTAGTCAGGAAGGTGAAGCCGTCAATGATTCATCATACAGGCAACTATGGAATCATAAGAATTCTTGCCGACTTAGGATGCAGTAACACTAATGGTTTACTAGTTCGTCAAAGAGACAGGACTCACCAGATCATTCCCCATCCAACACCTGTGCATGGACAAGGACAGAGTTCTGCAAACTTCTCAGCATCGCTAGAGTTGACTCTTCTAGATATTAGGTCGTCATATATGTCTGCAGACCAACCAATTTTTGCGTTGAGGACTAGAAAACCTTAATGAATGCTCAATAAGCCATGGAAAAAGGGTAATACAAGAACCATGGGATGCGTACCATAAACTGAAAACAAACTGTTCATGACACCTGCACGGGGAATAAGGTGGTAGAATCAGCTAACTAGCTTTGATGATGGAAAGGCCAAGTACAAGCTACTTAATTGAAAAAGAGGGGGAAAAGGAAAACTTGATATGGATGCTTATACCAATGAAGAGAATAACATATCGAAGGATCCGTACTTTGGTGTATTCTTGTAATACCCAAATGATAGCAAGAAACGCAATGAATCCTGAACATTTAAACTTGTTAGAGTAAACATCTTAGAAAAGCAAAGAATGTTCATAACTCGTGCAGATAGGATATTTTGTACAAAAACTGATAGAGCCCTCACCAATGCAAAGTCCTCGAAGCGTCCACTGTATGGTAAATTATGCATAAAAGTGAGAATGCGAAACTTTGAAGGATACGATCTATCAATTAAAATATTAAATATTTACAAACGAACAAAAGCCACCAAAGGGCAAGGGGCTAAGTGGAATGATGATAGATTTGTTCACTTACATTCTTGGCAATAAACAGCACTATGAGTAGCGCAAGACCCAAACAACCAGCAGCAATTCTTGCAGTAAGAAGATTGGTTGATGCAAGTATCAAAAGCATCCCCCAAAATGAAGATCCAAGATCTGCGGGCAAAGTACCGAAAAATAATAATAATAAACATTTGGAATACCATCCTGTCCTCTTTTCCAAATACGGACAAGTCTGGCTTCTCGGTAAACTATATCAAGAAATTATCATGCAACAAAATACTTGTGACCATGCATGCACCATAGGAATCTTAATACCCGAAAACTTGGGGCACTAACACCTACACCCTACACCTTGCTCTAATGAACCACAGACTTTAGAAAACATTGAACTGAAGTAGAGAAGCTTGAGCTGATCCTCAGCAATGTGTCCTACAGCTTGCTGCTCAAGCATCACCATTTAGTTTCATAAGAGGAAAGAGGAGAACGAATAGAATAACAAGAAGCAAAGAACAAATGGTACCAGGATCTAGGAGCAGCTTTTGCATCCTTTACTCATTGCACTCAAAAGTCCTATTGGAAGTTTCTACTATTGTGGAATAGGGCCCTTTTGCCAGCTGAAACGGAAGTGCTTCTTGTGTTACCTTCTTTAGAGAAGCAGAAATTGCTATCCAGCAAACATGTCCATCAAATCACCTCAAACTCAATTCTTCCCTTCAGTTAGCAAAACACCAACCTTTAGCCAAATGTGCTGACTTGTGATCCAATTATTCCATGTGCAAGCAATGACCCATGGCACATCCATATTATACATCTTTCTTCATGATCTGCTCATGTAAGTTACTAAGTTTTATCTCCTCAACCTAAATGAATATAGAACTTGAGAGAAGTCTAACTTCCCTTCTGTATCTAATGGTCACATATCAAAAGATATTTATTTTAGTATGTATTACCTAGTTTTATCTAATATCCAGGGTGTGAACTGCTATCTGCTCTTAGCTCATCTCTATTTCCAGAACTCCACACCCTCCTTCCTCGTTCCCATCTCTCTACCTTCACTGAGCTTTTCTAAGAAACACATGTATGCATACTTGCATAGATGTGAATACTGCGCCCTAAAGTGACGAATGCATTAGTTGCCGCTTTTGTTACATTAGCGTAAATTAAGCATGACATTTTCAATATATCTACCTTGTCAACCATGTCTAGCAATAGTAAAATAACAATGATTTAAAGGAAAAGTGAATTACATCCTGCAGGTAAGATCAGCCAATATATGCCACCACGTGTTTGAGTCACGCCTCCTTCATTGGCGTGAACCTGAATCCCTTCCACCTGGAGATCAATAAGCAGTTGAATCCCTTTGCTCAACAATGGTCTAACCAGTAAACAAAGAAATGATCAAGTGATACAAACAGCTTGGGTGTTCTTAGAGACAAATTTCGCTGTTCTAGCTTTGGAGCCCATGAACATAAGATTAGATCAGCATAAATGTACGACATAAGTAAATTACAAAATCATTATCATGGTTGATTCTTAACCGGGACGACATCTAACATGAAAATAGTCTAGTTCAGTTAAACTGCCTTGAAAGATTATGTCTTTGGACAAACAGGGAGGCAGTCCAAATGCTTGATCCAAGAAACTTATAAACTACTCGCCAGCTTAATCAACATCATCATCATGACAGAGGGATACACTGAAGAAAGGTGGGAACGAATTTCTAACCTTCCCACAAGTGAGGATGCAAGCAATGGCATGACTAGCTTCGTGCATAAACACGGTTATGAGCTTGAAAGGCGTTAGCAGTACTGTCCGCCATAGCTGTGACAAATCAAACGCCCACAAAACTCTCAAACTCGTTGAAAGAAAGAGTGAATCGGTTGAAAAATCCCGCGGAAACAAACTCAGGTAAGCACATTTTCTAAGCGAACAGACTAAGTGGCAGTGGTCGGAATCATGAACGGAGTTGACTTAGTCTGACTTGAAACTTACGAATTAAGATTAGGAAGAAGCATTACCGCGAGGATAACAAGGGAAAAGACGCCAATGGTGACCAAGAAGGTGACCTGGTCCTTCTGACAGCAGTTCTGCAGTTCCCAGTTCGGCATCGCGTCTTCCTACTGAATTGGAGTTGGAAGTCCGCCTGAGGAAGGAAGAAGACGAGAGATGGCTGGGATTGGAATTTGGAGAGGGTGGTTGTTGGACGAAAAGTAATGTCTTTGTTTGACGTTTCCTCAAAAAAAAAAAAAAGTTCAAAGTGACCGACTTTTTGCTTTTTGGTCAAGTAGTGTCTTGTTTGGTCATGGAAGGCTCCAAGGCACAATTTTGGTGAATTTTGAAGTTTGAACTATTCTTCTGATTTTGTGCACTAAACAATTTTGCCTAGAAATTAACTCTTTTTAGGTGATCTAAAAACATTAAAGCTTATTTACATTAATTCTCTACAAAATCAATCATTGGAAGTTGTTTGAAATTCAACTAGTAGTACAAAATTTCGGGCAGATGCATTACTAATAATGGATCAATCAATACAAAATATGGTAAAGAAGACCAGAATTCACAACTTGTTGGTTATATGCTGGACAAACAGTGAAGATGAACAGAATCCCATATCAGCTCAATCTTTTCTCCAGTTTCTTCCTTCTTCCAAGTTCTCTAGTCATCCACCAAGTTGCATAAAAGCAGCAGAGGTTCCAGCAGAACTCATCTGCACAAAGCTTGGAACTTTCTGACAGGCGATACAACAAATGCAAGAACGAATTGTACATAAGCTAAGCTGTATGCTGTTTCTTAATTCCCTGACATCATGCTCATAAGTATATGGTATAATTTACCAAAACCTTTGTGCATTTTGCCAGAACATCCTCCAGATTCAGTGCCATGCTCTCTCTGGTCGAAATATGTTTAGTAGCAGTGAAAGAAAAGACACCAAGGATCTGGGAAGATACCTTGGAGTCCCAGTCCTACATGGTCGTATCAACAAAGCCACTTACAAGTACATCATTGACAGAATCGACCAAAAGCTAACAAACTGGAAAGCCAGAACTTTGTCTTTGGCTGGCAGAGTTACCCTGGCCACCTCAGTCCTCAATGCCCTTCCCACCTATGCTATGCAAACCACATTTCTCCCTGCCTCTATCTGTGATCTCATTGACAGGAAAGTTAGGAGCTTTGTGTGGGGTCTAGGGAAGGAAAAAGGAAAACACACTTGGTTTCTTGGGAAACCATTTGCAAGCCCAAGGAACTTGGTGGTTTAGGACTGAAATCTGCTAGAAATATGAACATGGCCTTTATGATTAAACTCGGTTGGAATATGCTCAATAAGGAGTCTGACTTGTGGGTTCAAGTTTTACAGGGCAAATACTTCAAGCACAGCAATGGAGAGATCCTATCCATGAAGAAGAGCAACCACTCTAACCTGTGGAAGGCCATTGTTAAAGCAATGAACATCATGAAGCAGGCCACTTGTTGGAGTGTCAGAAATGGCCTGACCACCAACTTCTGGACTCAGCCATGGGTGGACAATGATATCATCCTGGAGGAGTTTGCACTTGGGGACATCTCTGAGGATGACAGGAACACTGTGATGGCTGATTGGATTTCTCATAATGGTGAGTGGGATTGGGGCAGACTCAAACCTTTGTTACCTGATGAAATGCTTGTGGCTATTGCAGGTATTGAGCCCCCAAACCCAAACCTTGGAGATGATGTAAATATTTGGGGAATGGAAAAGGATGGTCGCTTCAGATTGAGATCAGCATACAACCTTGTTGCTGGAGATGAGGATGATGAACCTGGAAGCCGCTGGAAAGACCTCTGGCAATGGAAGGGCCCTAACAGAATCAAGCACTTCTTGTGGCTTGTTATGCACGGCAGGCTACTCACTAACAAGGAAAGAACCAGAAGAAAGATCTCCACCAACAGTCAATGCAACTTCTGCAAGGACCAAGATGAAACCATCGAGCACATTCTCAGAAGCTGCAGCAGAGCTAAGAGTATTTGGGATAAGTTTAATGACAAATGTGTGGCTAACAGCATGAACCTTCCCCTGCATGATTGGCTGATGGACAATATTAGGCAGCAAGGGACAGGTACTGACTTTGGCATCATAATCTGGCACTTATGGAAGCAACGAAATGAGGAGGTGATGGAAGGCAGGATATTCTCCAGGGACAGTTTAATTGCTAGAATTCAAGCGTGGTTCTGCATTGTTGAACAAGCTAAACGTCACGCGCAGAAGACCACTTGTTCTAACTCTGCTACTGTCCAGAGCAGACTGGTTTGCTGGGAACCCCCCAGAGAAGACTGGATCCAAATTCAGTCTGATGGATCAGTTATCACTCAGACAGGGAAAGCAGCAGCAGGGGGTCTCTTCAGAGACTATTTGGGAAGATGTAAAGGGGCTTATGTCTGCAACTTGGGTTCATGCTCTATCACGGCTGCTGAACTCAAAGGTGCCTTGGAAGGCCTCAAGATTGCTTGGAAGGAAGGTTACCGAAAGATTGAGCTAAAACTTGATTCTACTACTGCTGTTGACATCATCAAACAATGTGACAGAGATGATCATCGACATGGAAGCATAGCCAAGCAGTTTGATTTGTTTTTTAATCTTGATTGGGAGGTTTGTGTTTCCCATGTGTTTAGGGAAGCGAATTTTGCAGCCGATTACTTGGCTAGCAAGGCTCACGATTTCGATTTTGGCACACATCGCTTCAATGTGTGCGATAGAGACCTTGTCCAATGGCTCAGCCATGATGTTTTGGGAACTTCCCATGATCGTAATTTTAATGTAAACTAGACGCAATGCGTCTATCTTTCTACCAAAAAAAGAAATAACCTCTTTGAACTCTGCTAACTCATGACCAACTATCTTGACTCGAATGTCTCTTCCTACTTCTACTGCTTTTACCTTTCGTTCCCTTACTTTTACGACCTGAAAACACCATGGTCATGACTGCCATGAATCCCAAACCAGAAAATGCCCATAGAGCAACTACCCAGACCTTCAAAGACCGGAAATGGCCATCGTTCTGATCTGAATGAGACAACTCCTGGGTGTGCCTTACTGGAACAGTGCTGGTTTTCGGCTTTTCCTCGATCCTGCCAAATTTCCTTGAAGTTCTGGTTTCAAGCTTGGGCGAAGTTAAGATGGGACTGCTGGGATCAGGGCAGTTTCTCTTCCTATGATGCAGCATCAAGGCTTCGTTTAACTTCTTCCCACATTCTATGCTGAGTAAGTTTTTCTGTAAAATGTTCTCATCGGTTCGATCAAGAGTCGATGGATCGGGTGGGTCTGGAAACTTGGCCCAGCAAGTGTTCACCATGTCTTTGTCTCTCCAGTTGGCCTTGTCGAAGCTCCAGTTTCCGACACTGAATTCTAGACCGTAATGGAACACTCTGTACTTCACACCTTGCTCGGGGACATATCCCGGGTATATCAGTATCTCCCGGCTCACTACATGGCGTAGTTTTAGCTGCACATACAAAGAGCGAATCTAGTTCAGAAACTGGTTCTCAACATATGGTGAATATATGCAAGATGAGATTCATCATATCATATGGACAAAGAACTTCGTGGAAAGTAATCAATTACCTCTGCTGCACCAAAGGAGTAGCCATACATCTCACTGATCCAGCCAGATGAGTATATATCTCCAGTAAGATTTGTGGCATAATGCTCTTTATCGAAACGAACCTCCTCCGTCTTAAGTAGCCAGTACATAGCGAACTTCATGAGGTCATCAATATGCATGATGATTACACCCCCAACCTTGTCACAATATTCAGGATGGCTCGTATGCATTTCCGCAAGCTCATTGTCGCAGCCAATCAAGTACCTTGAAGAACAAGTTTCCAAGGTTATGTTAGGGACGTGTCAAAAGTTCTTTCAGAAGTGGTATGGTGGCAATGAGCCATGAGTCTGAGTCTTACTCATAAGGAGTTGAAACTGGGTGGCCACGAGATGCATTGAATTCCCACGGTGTGATTGGACCTCTCAAAATCATGTCAGCATCAAGAATAACTATGTACTCAGCATCAATGTCACCCACGTGATTAAGCCAATGAAGGACACCAGCAGGTTTGTTGATTGCGGGATACCTGTCATGCAACACAAAATCATTAGCAGTTAGCACTTGAGAGCTTCTTCTGCTGGTTTTCTGCATTATCGTTACACAAGGGAACCAAACAGCAAACTGCTATCTTTTGAAAGGTGCAGCCACAATATTTAGCTTACCAGTCACCGGTTAGTGGATGCCGGCTCATGGAAGGAACATAGTGAGTAGGAGCCAAATCATGACCTTTATATTGCTTAAGGTCTTCATCAGTACAGCTGAGAAGTCGTGTTATGTTTCCAGGCTGACCACTGAGATGGAAACTGTGGATAAGACCTACAGTTTGCCAGTCAAAGTAGGGTGAACATTCTGTCGAAAAAACTGTGTGGATCTTTGGATGTGGTTTCATAGTTTCACCAAAGAGTGGCTGCTGATCTTCACCGGCTTCCATAGTTTGCTGTACACCAGGAGAGAAAATTTTGGGACGACTAAGATTAGCAAAAGTTTTACTCTTTAAGAAGCTCAAGTACTTTGACCATTTTGGCTTCGGGCATCCATCTGCAGCATGCCTTAATACAAGCCCTTCATTCAAAGTGTTCATGCACTCTACGCTCAGAAGCAATGCCCGTCGCTTATTCGGCTCGGATTCCATAGTATAGACCTGTGAAATGCCAAGATCATATAGGGTTCAGCAGGAAGCCTATATGTAGAACAAGGCCAAATAGTTCAAAACCTTGTCATTACTCTGTTCATGTACCTCTCTGGGATATGGAGGTTCAGGAAAGAGCTCGCCGCATCTATAAACGATATCATCTTCATGATGCTGCAGTTTACTAAATGACCAATTCCCCACAGTAAATGGCAAGCCATAGTGAAACAGGATTGGCTCGACACCGGGGCGTGGAATATATCCAGGATAGATCATCAAGTCGTCATTGATCTTATGCCGAAGTCCAACCTATAAACGCAGGGGGGGGAAAACAAAATGATACGACATAAGAATTGAAGGCCTGATGCAAAAGGAAAATAAGACAGCAACTCATCCAACTTACTTCAGCAGCACCAAATGAGTAGCCATACATCTCACTTATCCATCCTTTCCCATAGATGTCACCGGTAATATTCGTGCTCCAGTGAGCCTTATCTTCACGCACTTCTTCTGTCTTAGCAAGCCACTTTGGTGCTAATGCACGAAGATCATCTATGTGCATAGCTAAAAGCCCACCAACCTTGTCGCAGAGTTCTGGATGCTTTGTGTGAATTTTGGCCAGTATATTGTCACATCCAACCAAGTATCTGGAATAGTAAAGTTTATTGTAAGACTTCTATTCAACCTGATGCCAAAAGGATGATAAAGGAAAGACCTGATTGATCTTGCAACTAGAATTGCTGGCAAAGGTAGTGACTCAGACCATATAACTCTGAACTTGAACAAAAGAACATATGCATATGCTGAAGACAGAAGAACGCCATTCTTGTTTCGCCATTACTATTACCACGTTACCATCCATACACGAAAATTATCGATCAAGCAAGCCTTTCAAGTCAATGAAGTGTTCCATTGCAGCCAGATAGATTGCACTCATCATCATCATCATCAAGCAGTACCCAAACTAGTACTCCTAAACCAAGATCTTCTTAAACTTGTTCAAGGTTAAGTGTGAAAGTACCCATAATATGCAGACACTGGCCTTCCTCTCTCAGCACCGAGCTCTGTGGGTATAATCGGCCCTCGAATGATCATGTCTGCATCTAAAATCACCACCCAATCCACATGCTTAGCTTCCTCGCTGTGGTTAAGCCAATGTACAACTCCAGCAGGTTTGTTAATTGCTGGGTACCTATATACCACAAAAGTACAAACAAATGACACAAAAACTCATCATTACTAATTTCCTAGCAAGGCAAACTTCACATTACTGATTTCCCAGTAAAAGTTTACATCTTTATGGCAAGCAAATTGATTCACTAAGGACAGATTACACACTAAGTGTGAAGTTTTTCGCTCACCAGTCACCAGTTTTGGGGTGTCGACTCATAGAAGGGACTTGGAAAGTGGGCGCCAAATGCATCCCTCTGTAACTCTTCTTCTCCTCTTCAGTGCAGCTCAGGAGTCGCGTTATGGGTCCAGGTTGCCGGGCCTTTCTGAAACTGTGCATTAGCCCCACCGTCTGCCAATCAAAATAGTTCTGGCACTCGACGGAGAACAAAGTGTGGATCCTGTACCCCGGTTTCCCCACCGGCGACCCGCCTTCGACGACGGCGACAACGAACAACAAACCCATCAGGGCAAACGTGATCAAGACGGCGACTTTAGCCATTGAAGCTCGAACTCAAGCCCTGAATCGAAGTGGGTGTGATCTAAATTTCCTTGACTAGGGAGAAAGATTGGAGCAAGTCAAAGGGAAACATTTGAGAATTGTTAATTTTTAAGAGCAGGCGCCAGGAGGTAGTGGAAAAGGGAAATGGTTGAACAGTGGCGAGGAAGTGGCATAAAAATAATCTCTTCCTCCCTCGGGTGCTTTCACCAGCAATGATTACTCATTTCCTACTTCGAGCTGTTGAGTTTTCGAAAGGATTTGGGGTTTAGACTTTTTAGAGATTTAAGAAGCTTGATAAATATTCAGAACCGAATCTGAGTATTTTTTGCTCTCTTCCCTGAGCTGTCTGTCTAAGAACAGCACTTGTAGTGGAAGGCAGCGGAGCAGAGCATGGTGGAGGGAGAACCAGAAACGGCGACGTTTGTCACTTGCTTAAAAGTCAATAGCAACAATTTAGTCGGGCATCTTAGTGATGATTCATCATGCTTATCATTTATCAATGAGCCTAAGCTATAAATATATGAGCATGATTGTTCTAAAATTGGACCATCAAAGTCTAATTACAATTATTACTTTTACAAATTACAACCCTGGTTTTCTCTGATGACCGAACTTTTGACCCTCAAGCTTACTAGTTCACATGATTTATTCACTCAACTAACTTTTGAGTACCAATTTGTTTGCTGCCAAAACTCTAGTGACCAAATCAATAACTGTTATAGAACTTTTTTTTTAATGAAAAATAACTGTTATAGAACTTTGATTCCCCCCGGCTCGGCAAACAGAACAGAAGTCTAGTCCTTTCTTCTTCTTTCGGAAGAATTCCCAGAATACAGTAAAAATTATACATAATTCCCAGAATACATAAGTTTTATAAAATTTTCCCAAACTACCCAAGTTTCAAAGAGTTCGAGTTTGTGAAACTCGAACTACTGACAAGATCGACGACGACAAACTCGAACAAAGCAGATCGATGACAAACGACTCGATCTATGTAGATCGATGACAATACACTCGATTAAGTAGATCGAGTATAGAAAACTCGATTTAACTAGATCGACGCCGGGAAACTCGATGCAGTGCAACGATTTGAAAACACTCGATCTCTATCTGCACTAGATCGAGTCCCTATGACTCGAACAAGGTAAATCGATTACAATAGACTCGAACCACTGGCCCACCGACATGCTTCAGATAGGGTTGCAGGGATAAGATTCTTTGTTATAGTAAATCGAGTTTTAGGGACTCGAACTAGGGTAGTTCGATTGCACTAAACTCGAACTACTTGCTCAATAATTCTGTCCAGTCGCTTTCGGCCCGACATGTTCCAGAATAGGGTGCAGGGGGGGAAATTATTGGATGGGGTAGATCGAGTTTAATAAACTCGAACTAGTGTAGATCGAGTGTTTTAGACTCGAACCACTGCATCAGTTTACGATGATAAAAAGCCCTCACTTAGCACATTCTGGCAGCTCTTTTACTTTCTATCTTCTTTCTTCCAAACACAAACTGCAGCAGCTGGAGCACCATAGCTCACCAAAGAAGAAAATTTTTGGAGGTAAGTTCTGCTTACGTTGTTTGAATGAGCGTATTAGAATTTTAGATTAATTTAGAATTGTTTGTACTGTATGTAATGAGCTGCTTCTATAAACTGCAGAAATGGGTAGAAAGTTTCGAAAATTCGACTTATTGATTCGGTGGAATGGTCGAATTACCCATTTTCATGATAGTATTGACTACGAAGATGGTGAATCAAGTACTGTCCCGATTAAGAGCATATTTACTTGGCAAGAACTCAGCCATATTTGTGCGGAACGATGTTGCATAGGAGGGAGAAGAGTATGCAAGATGACTTACCGTATGCCGGTTTACAAGGATTATGCACTTGTATATGAAGGATCAGTTTTGTCTGACGATGATGATGTTAATATGATGATGAGATTTATTGCAGAGAACAGATTTACAACTGCTGAGGTGTATGTCGAGACAGAAGTTGTTGGCCAATATGGTGGGGGTGGTTATACCGAACAAGGTGAAGGATCGGGAGCTTTTTCCGGTTCAGGAGATTTCAGAGTGCAGCATGATGCACCATGGCCAACATACGAGGATCGAGCTGCAACTGGTCCATTGGTGGAACATGACGGACAGGAGTGGCCAGTATGGGGTGGAGAATGGGATTACATAAGGGCACCCAGACAAGCATCTACAGCAGCATCTGGCATCAACAATGATCCATATGTGGATAAACCAAGTCCTCCGTACACTAGCGAGGCAAGCGACGTGGAAGACGAAGAGTTAGAATCAATGAGTAGTTCAGATGGTGAAGATCTGGAAGTTGACGAGGGGGAATTTGAGCCCCCCACACCTCACTACACGATGGTGCCACAACATCCTCTCTATGCTCACAACGACGATCCTGACCTCCCTCCTATACCAATCTGGACTCCTGACTCTGGATTCGTGGTTGGCCAAACATTTGCAGGAAAGCCACAGGTGGTCGATGCATTGAAAGAAACTGCTATGCGAAGAAGCTTTCAATATCGTGTCATCACTTCTGACACTAAACAAATTCATGTTCGTTGCGAGAACCATGGCGACGGATGCATGTGGCATGTTCGGGCGGCATATGTTAAAAGAAATGGGGCTTGGCTCATTCGTAAGACAGACAACAATCACACTTGTAGGTCGTCACTGATTTCTCTAGATCACCGACAATTGAGTGCAAGGAAGGTTGCACAAACAATCAAACATCTGATTGAGGCACAACCTGGGATCACCGTGAAGAGTGTCATCGCTGAAGTGAAGAATCGACATGGCTATACCATCAGTTACAAGAAAGCATGGCATGGGAAGCAAAAAGCTATGGCAGAGGTGTATGGTGATTGGAGGTGGGGTTGCAGTGGGTGGAGGACCATAATAAACATTTGGAATGGGAGTCTGGAAGCTTTGATGCGGGGTTTGATGCGGGGTTTGAAATTGATGACCATACGATGAATAGTAGGCTCCTCCTCCCCCTCCTTGAGCAGAACCTGATGATCCCTCTCCGAATTCCCTTCTGGCGGGAGGGAATCCATACTCGTATGGGTGGGGAAGTGCAACATCTTCTCGTACATGCACAGGGACGTTAACTGGCTCTTGCCGACGTTTACTCCTCCTTGGTGGTGATGGCGGGAGAGATTCAATTTCAATGGCGTGGGAGGAAGGACGTGGCGGTGCAGGAGCAGGAGGATATGCAATGACATCCCTTCGGATTTCCCGCGAACATGACAAGAGATTCTTGAAGAGCTTCTTCAAGAATGAAATTTTCTCCCCTGGCACAGCATCTTCTGGTTCATTCTCCAACGTCATTGATGCAAGTTCCAACCCATCAACCTTAATAATAAACATGTTAGTAAACACTATTTGTGTAGCTAAAGTGATTATAGTAAATAGATATTGTGCTTACCAATGAACCGATCACGGCGCCACGTTTGGTTACCCATCTTTTTGTGAACTTGCGGTACCAAACCATGTATTCATCTTGGTACCCCATTGGCCTCGTCATTGCCTCCCCATCAATTGCATACGTCTGACGAGACTCCCACATTTCGATCCATCTATGGTGCTTGGTTGGCCAATCACTTATTGAACCCCGCAGATCCTTGCTGTACTTGTGGAGTGACTTATGTACGTCCGGGAGTGGGAGAGGAATCGGTTGCGCCCAATTATATTGTCGAACACATCTATCCGGGAGGTGCCACTCGACAATGTTGTGGCAAATCACAGGCAACTTGCACGACCAGAGTCGGCGATCCTCAGGGTATCGCAACTCGTACAAATCCTTTGCTCCGTTCGGATACGGATCCCACTCCACCTAAGTTTCAACACAACAAATAAATTAAAATCGAAGCAAATAATTTCAACAAATAAAATAGGATTCATAATCATAAAAATAAATAATGGGCTAAGATAAATAATTCAACAAATAAAATAGGATTCATAATCATAAAAATAAATAATGGGCTAAGACAAATAATTTCAACAAATAAAATAGTGGTCATAATCATAAAAATAAATAATGGGCTAAGACAAATAATTTCAACAAATAAAATAGAATTCATAATCATAACAATAAATAATGGGCTAAGACAAATAATTTCAACAAATAAAATAGAACTCGTAATCATAAAAATAAATCATAGGCTAAGACTAAGACAAATAACATCAACAAATAAATTATAAATAAATAATCATAAGGTAGAAGGTTACCTCGTTGAATTCTAGACGGTCAAGATGTTGGCGGTACCCGTCTAGAGAGGTGCCACTCGTGATAGCTCCAATCCATCTAGCACCATAAGCCCATTGTCGTAGTGGCTCATCGGGACCCCAGCTGTTGGCAGGGCAGATCGGAGCGAAAGTAGGAAGGTGCTCCCAAACCCATAGTTGGAGGATGAACATGGGACCACCCGCTTGCTTTGTTTTCGGATCCGTACACTTGCACAACTCCGAATATATCATGGCCAAACAAGCAGATCCCCAACTTTTTCTCCCAATCTCGTCCCAATCTCCCAAAAGAACTCGAAGCCACATACAATGCATATTTCCACCAGACTTGTTCGGAAACAAAAATCCTCCAACCAAACAAATAAGGTAGATGCGAGCATACCTCTCTATCTGAGCATCCGTGGCATCCTCCGGTAATTCCCCAACGGTCCTCACTAGCCAAGGTATCAATAACATAGACTTGTGTAGAGGTGGTACACGACGACCTTCTTCTGCTTCCTCGGGGATGTTGATACCTAAACGCTCGCTTATAAATTGGCCCCAACCATTCAATGGTTTCTGTGAACTTTCAATTATTGCATCACCATCGATTGGAAGCTCTGTCAGCATGGCTACGTCCTTCAACGTAATCGTCATCTCTCCCTCTAGAAGGTGGAATGTGTGCGTTTCTTTTCTCCATCTTTCCACCATTGCCGTAAGAAGGTTGTTGTCCATCTCCATCCCCACAAACTTTCGCACCCTCAGCAATCGCGCTCTTTCAATGAAGGGCTCGATACGATCATCCCATTTAGGCAAGCGAGATAGCGACCGATGGGTGATTACGTCAAGTTGTTCCTGTAGAAAAAAAAAATATTAATTATTATACAAAAAAAAATTAGAACAATACTATCACATTTAAAAAAAGAAAAGTAAATGAGGAAGTGCTTACCGGATCTGCCGCCCAAACACTTTCAGACCGATGGTAAGGTTGCTCATCCAACAAATCGGTTTCTCGCGGTCCGCCTTGAATGTATAATCTAGGATCGTAAATACTCGGATCCATCTCGGCAATTTTGAGTGATAGAAGTACCAAACTAAAGAAAAAAAATCTGATGCGGAAGATCGGGCTTAGCCGCAACCACAGAGCATATTTTTTTCTTCAAGAGTGGTGGGAGGAATAGGAAGAAGAATGGAGTGGTGTGGGATTTGGTGGAATGGGAGGGGGAATATATAGGTGCAGGTGGTTGATGTGGATCGAGTACAGAGGACTCGAACCAGTGCCTCGATTTCCCTGCCATCGATCCGCGTCGATTGCAGATCGAGTGAACAAACATCGAACGACGCAGATCGAGTCTGGCAAACTCGATCTACGGTGGAGCGGTCCTGACGTCATCGATCCGCGTCAAATGGATCGATTCAATGGTGCTCGATCCACGTGCATCGCTTTTTCGCCACTCGATCCGCGTCGCCACTAAATCGCGGGCTTGGCCATCGAACGGCGTGGTTCGATTCTTCTTACCTCGATCTACGGTGGAGCGCTGCTTATGTCAGCGATCCATGTCAACTAGTTCGAGTGTAACGTACTCGATCCACCTAAATCGAGTTTATTACACTCGATCCGCGTCGTCCTGTTCCAGCCAATCGTGGCTGCTTCACTCGATGCACATGGATCGATTCTTTTACAGTCGATCTACTAACTAGTTCGAGTTTGCCAAACTCGAACCGGTTCAAACTTTGGTATTTTGGGAAATATTTATAAAAGTGATGTATTGTGGGAATTACTTTTAATTTTCACTGTATTTAGGGAAATAATCCTCTTCTTTCGTTCGTTCTTCCTCCCGAAGTCCGAAGCCAATCAATTATCCCATCAGTGAGTGATAAAGTTTCGATCTTTAAAGATTTGAAAGCGGTGGGATCTTCCCTCCAGGAGACAAAACATGCTCAGGTAGAGATATGACGAATTTCCCGCGAAGATTCGCCATTGTACTCTTCCTCTTCATCTCAATCTCTTCGCAATCCAGAAGCACCCGTTCTTCCACTGCCCCGCTTCAGGTGCTGAGGAATCAAGTTTTGGCATTTTGTCTGCGTTTCTTGCTCTTGATCGTTGCTCCCGAACTTGTTCTGAATTGTGTGGTAATTTGTTGATTTCCCCCAGGGTCATGAAGAATCTGCTGTTGCAAGGTAAAGTTTACGTAGATTGCTGGAATTCGCCTTCATTTTGGCATTTGATGAACAATATTTGGTCTCCAAGCTCACTCTATTAGCTGGAAATGGAATGACCATGAAAGCTTGTACCTTTAGTTCTTTTGGCAATGTGTTCTTACACAAAGTTGATTGATGCTCAGAACCCTAGGGGAAGAGAAACCGCATGCTCATGAGGTACATTGTTCAAGAGAGCGGAGCAGGGCGGCGCGGAAAATTATCGAGCAGGTAATCAGATAGAATGCCTGTGTTATTTCTATGAACTTCCACCAGGTGTTTTGATCTTTGTGATGGTTGGTTTGTTTTCAGTACTTGACCCCCTTTGTTGAGAAGGAAAAGCACCACATTCCAAAGAAGTGCCCACTTCCTCCTGAGAATGACCTCTACCGTCTCCAAGAACAGAGCAAAGCCCGTGAAGATATCAACCTATGGCGATGTGGGTACTGCAAAAAGACCTTCTATGAAGAGAAAAATCTGGACAAGCATCTAGATGAGTGGCACTTTGACACCTTAGATACGGTATGTTACCATGAAGTTCATTTCCTTGAATTTGTGAGTAGGCTGTAGGAGGTTCTTCCCTGGCCACTTAGATTGAGATAGCTGTTAGGCCCTGCCAACTGAATCCGTAATATCGCAGAAAATGAACTTTTTACTCAGTCATATATCAACAGCTTGTTCTAGGAGGGGATTGTTCACTGTGATCTTTGAGAAGTCTTCCTATGTGTCTGTCTTTGCTCATTTAGTGAATCAAACATTCATCTGCCCGTACCTTTTGTTTCAAACATGGCTTCGGAATGACAGATGTAATACTTGTACTGAACCCAGAGTCCCGGCAGGTGCTTGGCAGATTCATGTGGTGCATTACACTGTGACCTCGTGATGAATTCACCACGCAAGACAAAGTGCAATCCAGCAGCAGCAGCAAGGAATAAGCATGCTTGTGAGGTGGGCTTCTTTTTTGGTTGCATGACCCTAACCGTTTGTACAACTTTCACTGCTTGTTGAGTCGTTCATCTCATCAATATCATATTTTATGCAGAGTCTGGCTGATCGCTGCTTTCCAGTCCAGGACGGCACCTCAGCTCGTCGTCTCAATGGTAATATTTCAATGCAATTTCAGAATCTGTTTCATGGAATCATATTCCTTTAATATAGTGATGTATCATGTTATGATGCTTTATGGCTGGACAGATCTATTCTTACGGCAATTTTGTGATGCCCACACTTGCAAGGGAGGCCGGAAGCCCTTCTCAAGAGGAGGCAAGGTAGTTACCTTGAGTACATGAGTTAGTTTTCAGCTTTCATTTCCCTGATTGACTAAAGTTCGTTCCTTGTTTAGCTCACCTAGATTATTCATCTCGTTTTTCGAAACTTGCAGAAGAAGAGGAATGTGCTCTATATAGTTGCTTCAGTCCTGGTTATATTTCTGCTATTTCTCTTCTACCTCTTCTTGTACTTGTATGAAAGGTATAGTCAATTTTCCAACTTCCATTAATGACCTTGATTCCTATGTCGGCAAGTAGCTTGATACCGTGCCATTGTTGATGGTGCAGGGGCATGAAAAGAGGCGGCCAAGGGCTGAAGCGGATTACCAAAAGTGGACAGAAGAAACAGAGTTGATTAACTGTTGCAGGTGTTTTCTTGCTGGCTTTCTTATTTACCTTCTAAAGTGATACTCATTGGCATAGTTCAAAGATTGAGAATGTTCATTCTCTATATCTTCTGTAGTAGATGTTTACATACATGCATGTGAGGTTCTGATTATACATTTTTACAAAGACAAACTTAGATCTGTCAGCCATTGAACTCTCACTCTATATCGATGTCGATGACTTTGCGGTTGGTATTGACTTTTGGAATGGTGACATACAACACCCCATCTTTCACTTCCGCCTTAATTTTCTCGAACTCGATGTTGTCTGGTAAAGCAATTCTGAAACTGTACTTGCCATAGCTCTTATTCGGCCAATCTTCACCACTCGCAGCAGCTTCACCATTTCCATCCTTGTCCAAGACCTTTTCGCCCTTCAAAACCAGCATATTGTCTTCAACCCACAGCTTGACATCGTTCTTCATCATGCCAGGCATGTCGAACCTCAATCCATACTCGTTTTCGCCTTCCTGTATCGCCCAAGGCATCCTTCCCCTTCCATACCCATCTTCCTGAACTGGAGAAATCGCAGTAGGCCACAAGCCACTGCTGTAGGAAAAGGGATCATCCATGATCCTGTTCATTGTGTCTATCATCTGCTGCATTGTCCTTGCTGCTGGAAACCCATCCCACAGCCCTGCAGGAAAAGAACTTCAGTTCAGCATACTGAAAACTGGAGTTAGGGAAAAGGCGAAGTGCTTTTGAAGTTATACAAGCTGTCAAGTGAGCCAGTTAGCTTACCAGTTGGCGCTGCAACCTGCTGCATTTTCTTTGGTTGGGACTGTTGTTGATTGCCAACTCTTTGCAAACTGTCAAGGTTGTCTCTTTTCTCAGCCATAACTTTGACCGCATTGCGAGCAGCTCCTCTGCCATTGTTGTTGCCTGGCCATGAAAGTCTGGGGAAGAAGAGTTTGTTGATTCTCTCAGGAGAAAAGGTGGGGAATGGTGTGTAGATGTGCAGTTGTGAAGCCATTGTGTAAAGATGGAAGCTTTTTATTGTGCAGTGGTGTCTTCAGTTGAACTCAGGTGTTGTTCTACAGGGCCTCAAAGAGATGGTTGTATATATAGGGAAAATAGTAAGGATCAACGAGACATTTCTCGAACTTGGGTGGCTGGCCTGGCAAATGGCCCTTTCTAGACTTATCTGATATCTCGCTGTCCTGCCCTTTCTAGACTTCTCTCACGGCTGCTGTGCTGCTGCATCTTCCCTCGACGGCCCATATTTGTCCAAAACGGGTCGAACCTTCAAGAGTCCCGCTTGAATTTCATCAAAGAACAGGGACAGGGAGAAATGGTGCTCCATCTCGCCAATCGATCATGTGATTAGGGATTGAGCCTTACTTTCCAATGATATAATTTGTTGCACAAGTACTTATTTATAGCGTCATACGAGTAGCTATATCATTAGTCAAAGCATAGAAAGAAAGAAAAATGTACACGCTAATATCTTTCACTACATAATAGACTATACGTATCATCGAAAAAAATGCATCACAATTGGATTAGATTTTATCATCGTAAATTGTACATGCCACATACATGTTTGACTAACTGAGAGGACAACAACCCATGAAATAAGCCATTCTGCTTTCTGATACAATTGCCCTTTACAAAAACATTTGAAACGGAACCAATTGGTGTGTTTGAAAGTTTCAAGCACTGATGTCAAGTTGGTGCTGATAAGTGAGAAGACCTTCAAAAGTCGACAACTTTCAGTCCATGGACCAAGCTTTGAGAGAGTTGCCTTCCATATTCAAAAGAATCAAAAGTCAGCTTAGGATGATGGCGGCGACGATGAACAGCCAGCAAAGCTTCTTCTCCTTCCTGGATCGCGACTGAGTCCATGCCTCTTCAATGTACTGATATAGTCTTTGCTGAGAGAGAACTTGTTGCTCCCAAGGTGAAAGAAATAGTCCCACGTATAGATTCCAGTCTTGTGCAGATCATCAAACACTATTCTGAAAGCCATAGTGTTCAAAAGCATTAGTTAAAGTGTCTACAGGAAGGGATAAATCACAGTGGTGTAAAGGTTTGTTTAGTCTCAGTTTGCAGGAGTACCTTACCCCATAGTTTCCCACAGGTTCTGCAGACATGATCCCTACGTGACGCCGGCCTGAAATCACCTGTTGAAATGACAAACAACCATCAGAAGAGTACTTAATCAATGGAAATGGGGATAGGCAATAAACTTCGATCATTAGTTGTATTACCTTCTCACCACCAATGGACTTAAGTTTGCCATCCACAGCTGGGCTGTGTATTCTTAGGAACTCAGCTGACAGGCTGAACTTGTCCCCATTGCCATACTCCACCTCTACCTGGAATCGAGTTTAAATTCAGGCGAACAGTAATTTCATCTCTAAGTTAGGCATTAGCTACATTTCCAGCTACGGTGAATGTTCCATCCATCAATCAGCCAATCGACCGTTCTCATGATCCCAGCCAGAAAAAGAAACAGAATTCAGGGAACTTCCAAGAACACAGGAGGATTTCAAGCGAGTAAAGCCATCTGGACACTTATCTGGATCGAAAGATCCTAGCTTCATCACTGAATTTCAAATCGAACAAAAAATGTCGACATTGTCGAGGTTGGGGTTGAATTGAACCGAAACCGGGCCCGATGAGCATAAAAAAGGATTGGGAGCTTACCCTCTTGGGCGCTCGAAGAGTGAATCTCGTAAGCCTTGGGGCAACGACGTTTGTGTGGATCTCCCTGATTGCTCTCTGTATAGTCAGCATCACTTCCGGCAAGACTGTGGAAGCTCCGGCGAGTCAGGGGGAGGACGGTCGCTGAGTTTGAGACCCAGAGACCAGATCAGGAATTCAGGATCCTCACTCCTCAAACTCTTCGAAGGGAACTAGGGAAGGTCTTTGATTGGGCTTTCATGGGCTCGTGCCGACCGATACATTTGGGCTAAGTGTGGCCCAAATACTTTTTTTACAAAGAAGATTAATGGCCCAATTACTTCTTTTTTTTGACAAGGTATGGCCCAATTACTTGCTGCCACACTTCTAATGAGTAATGAGTAATAATCTACGCAATAAATAAAAGCCAAATGAGAAAACTTGAAGCCCAATTTCAAATTTCCTGCATCCAGAGTGAAAGTAGGAAGGGCATTTTGGTCTTCACAATTACTTTTTTTATTCATTAAAAACACACTTACTAGGATTCGAACCATGGCCACTTTCAAAGAAAAGCAAAGATCATAACCAATCACACTAAGTACGTTTGTTGTATCTTTTTAAATTGAAAATATATAATCGTAGTGAGGAAAAAACCCTTCCCCTATTTCAAATTCCCTGCTCCAGGAGCATTTGCAGGAAGGGTAGAATGGGGAGTGTCAATTTTTTCCTTTTTTCTCTGTGGAACGGGCCAACTTACCGTACACAAGCGGATTTAAACGGGTCCGGAAGTGTCAATTTTGATCTTTAAGTCCTTTTATTTCTCCGTGGTGGTAAAATATATATGAAAAGGCAAAAACAATACTCCGTTTTATTGCTAAAAAGAAAAAAAATTAACAATAAACTAATGCATGGATTCTAATGGGCTAACCGCTAATCATAAATAAAAGAGTTGAATAGGTCTGACCTACACGGGATTTGCCAATCAAGTAATACAAATAAACATCATGGGTTTTCCATTCTAAAACAAGCTATTTTCTCTAGCATAATATATATTATGCTATTATTTTATATCTTAGTGACTAAAATATAATGTATTTTAAAGTTATTCAATGAACCTCGACCAACTCAATTAGTTCAATTTGTATCATTTCAAATATACATTATGTAATTATTTGATATCATAATGATTAAATTATAGTGTATATTATAGGGAATCGTTTGATATTTGTTAGTAAAAAACTAAACAGAAAGATCTATTTGGTTATTTTTAACATTAATTTCATTAAAACGATTCTAAACATTTTCAGTTTCCTTTAGAAATTCTATAGCTTTATTCCCGAATCAGTGATGTGCAAATGGCGAATTGCAGTCATCTCTTTTCTTTCATTATTTTTTATTTTCAAATAGAAAGTTTAAAAGTAAAGAATAATTAGAGGTTGGCATGGGTCGGTCAAACATGCTGAATTTCAAGTTTTGGCCTGTTTTGATCAAGTCTAATTTATAATCACATGGTTCCCTGATACCCGATAAAAATCTCAATACAAACCAGTTTAGCAGGTGAGTCCGTGTTTACCACCATTTTCTAGGGATACAGGAACGGTGGTTCCTATCCTAAATCGTATTGTTCATTCTTGATTTCTTTAGATTTTATCATGGCTTGGCAAAAAATCAGAAAGCACAATGATGACAAGATGAAAGTTTTATAAAACAAATTAATCGGCCAACGGGCCGAGTAAAAGCTAGCAACGATTGTGAGATGCTCATTTCCCGAAAACCGGCGGGATAGGCGATTTTTTATTCGATTTTCTGGAATTTGGTTTCTATAAAACTTACTCCACCTCATCATATTACCAGAAACAATATTGTTTCACTAGGTAACATATACTTGATTTTGATTCATAAGGCTGATTCATCTTCCTCCGGCCAAATGACCGGGGCCCACGCTAGTACACTAAAAATACAGAAACGGGCACCTCAATATTACCTCGTATAAACAATGTAAATATGATCTGATTATATATAGATTCATGATTAGTTCGAAAATTAAAAAAAAAAACACAAAACAACTCAAGTTTTGCATGAAGAAAGGAAAATGATAGTGACAAATACGCTCAAATTAGAGAAAGTGGGAATTGACTTTTATTTTGTATTAGAAATGTGAGGAAAACAGATTGAATACCACACTAGTTCGTGCAAGAAAAAATTGTACATTATTCTCACATTGTCATTGTATATAGATTCAACTTTTACTCTTTTAAGCAAGTCGACTTTATTCAAAAAGCTATATCAAATCAAAATTATCGCCAAAAAAAAAAAAAAGGAAGTTATGATTTGTGATGCCCTTACCTTGTGCAGAAGCAGGAGGTTAAGGTAGGATTAGACAATGGAGCATCTTTGGCTTTGTGAACTAAGCATTGAATCCAGGCCAACTTTTGTCACATTATCCTCTTTTTATAATAAAAGATATATTAATCAATTAATTGTACATACAAAGCTGTTTACATTATTAAAAAAGGCATATTAAATCACCCTAATCATCATCATGTCTAGAGATGGCAATGGGGCGGGTTTGGGGCGGGTTTGCCTAAACCATCCCCATCCCCATCTTCAAACACCCATACCCGCCCCATACCCATGCGGGGGAATGTTTTGCAAACCCATCCCCATACCCGTGGGTTTCGGGTACCCATGGGTAATACCCATCCCCGTACATCCAACATTATTATACCTAAAACTTACAAGAAAAGTTTTAATTATAACCATAAACAAACCTATTATATCACGAAGTCAACAAAACACGGTCATTTTCTAAATACGATTCAAAGTATATGATCCTAAAACATCCATTAATACATAATATAGACTATAATATTTTTTAAATTATTATGCTCTAACTCTTGATACATTTACTAAGTAATAATTAACTAACATAATTTTGTTGACAAGGGGAAATGAAAGAGTGGAAGGAGAATTGAGGGAAATGAATTAGGTTTTGATTAAGGTGGTTACTCAATTGCATTTCTACTATTTATTTTCTCGAGTTATCATCATCATCATTGATAGATTACAATTTAATCCACGTATTTTTTGATATGTGAAGAAATTCTCTTGGTGGGGCGGGTATGGGTATGGGTATGGGGCGGGGGAGGCTAAAACCATACCCGCCCCATACCCATCAAACCTTTTGCGGGTTTTACCCATACCCGCCCCATACCCGGTCAAAGCGGAGATTCCCCGCGTTGACTGGATATGGGGCGGTCGGGTACCCGCGGCCATGGGTTTGATTGCCATCCCTAATCATGTCTGTGATATTGTTCTTTCAACAAATATGCTTTGGTACGTATTTGGGTTAGTACCTTTACAATATGACATAATAAAAAATAAAAACAAATTTAAGTAAATAAGTTAATATGATAGAGGGGAGAGAAGCATTGGTACAAAATATATGACGATTGATATAACAGAAAGAATCCATTTACCTGCGATTTGATCTAACTGTATCATTATTAGTTTTCGACTTGAAACTTTCATTTTCGAATTTAAGATTGAATCTCCTTCCCAACAAACCTGTTTAATAGCCAATTGATGATGTTGATGGTGACGATAATGAGATGTTAGATTGATGACAAAAGCCCACATGCTTATCCACCAATTAGATCAATCTCATTAGGGAGCAATTAAGTTTAAGTATAAGCACCCATATTTCCCTTCACCTACTTGATGTTTGATTTGGCAATCCTAATAACAACTTGAGCTTCCTTAATCATGCGCCAATTAACTAATTAATGAACAATCCCAAGCTGTCCCTGTCCAATTATACTTAATATAAGACCATTAATTAGCACACTAAAGTTCTAAAACCTATTGTATCCTTGTTTTCTTCCATTGTGGTATATGGGGATTAGGATATTCTCTTCTTCTGCCTTAGATAAGACAATCAACTTAGTATCAAATATACAGCTAGGTGTTCAAAGCTTTTCTTTTGTATTAGTTATACCAACCATCACGAAAAAAAGGGAGAATTAATTGAAATTATTTTTAGCTTTAATATTTGTTCTTCCAAATTCCAACGAGGCAGCTGGCAAGCTTTGCCATTAATAATATGAAACTTCAACAATATATAATAGCAAGGTTGTCAAACCGCGGGTCGATCCGGACCCGGATGAGTTAGTGGGTCATGGGTCAATGGGTCACCCGTTTTAGCCCAGTTTACCCGGAAATATGGAAAATGTAATTATATTATACTTATCCTGAATCCAACATAAAAAAATACAACACTACTTCAACTCCAACACACTTAAATAACATCAACTTAAATTCAACATAGTAAAAATTCAACAACACTTAAATCATTCACAAAACATCACATATATCTTTCGTTCCATTTATTGGAACCAAGTCTCAAACCCTTACCAAATGACTACGACTCAGGGAACTAAAGGTAATGGAGAGGCTCGGGTCGCAAATAATGGAAAAGAGCAACCCGCTGATCCGCTCCAACGGGCTAACCGGCCGGGCCAACCCGGGTTTGACCAGGTTTCTCCAGGTTTGACTATTTCCGGGCTGACATGAAAATGGGTTGGTATGACCCATTTTTTTGGCCGGGTCCGAGTTAATCCGGGTCGACCCGCAGGTTGACAACCTTGTATAATAGCATACTATATATAATCGTACTCTTAGCTTGATGACTTTGGCTAGCAAGTGATTATAGTTATTGCCTATTGGGTTATGTGATGGGGCTTCTGGTTGTCTGTTTTATCATTGTAAAATTGAGGTTTTTGCCCGATTTATGTTTGACATGATTTATATTTACGATATGAATTGTTTCAATCAAGAGTAATTTTGAAATTAAACATTAGTATTTTTTCCAGTTTGGTTCATTGTAGTCTCTAGCTAGTATTGTTTTTAACTTCGAAATGGAGGTTGTATGTCTGAACTAAATTAGTTTAATTTTGACATAAAGATTCTTAGGACACAAGTCGTTCCACTCTAATCATCCTCTTTGTTAGTTTTCAGTTTTATAGTAGACTCGAAGTTTTGTATCTCACAATATCAAAACGAATCAATCTATTACCATTTATACTTCATACCAATTTATCCAACCTAACTCATATGTCAAAGCCATTACCAATTTACCATCCTTAGTTCTTGTCCTTGGTAAAAGTTACCCTGGAGTATAATCAGAATAACTATGTATGCAGTTATTATCAGTTGACTTGACTTCGATGAAACATTGGAAATTAGGCTTCCATTAACTGGCTCCCCTCAATCAAACAGTGCGAACTGCTAGTTAATTAAAAGTGTTTTATTGTTTACGTACTTGACTTTACAAATCAAGTCTTCCTCTAATCATTGTAATCTGGTATTAAATTAATTTAGTTGAAAGTAGCCACCCATCAAATATAGAATTCTACGGTTGCCTCTTATTTTAATAGAGAATAAGAAGTGATGTAAATAAGAAGTCATTATTATTAAAATAATATTAAGATCGAACAAATCGAGCCCTCTGTCAAAGATTAACAATCATAACACTTTTACTAGGGTTGAAATTTTAATTAGAGCCCTTTTATTTGACCGACTTCCACTAAGAAGAATGAAGTTTATGATCCGTGGGAAAAGGTTGCTAAAATTTATGTGTTAGTTTGTTTTCTCGTGATATAAACATATTTTGTGTTGATGTCACATTATCAGCCCTAAATATACCTCATTAAACAAAGTGTAGGATCGGTTTCAATTTGGGAGATACTAGAATTTGGTGACAAACACTAAAAACCATCCAAGATTCAGTTCACAGTCGAAATAAATAGCTATCTAACATCTATAAAAAAAAAATTGTACTCAACAGAAGTAATCTATCAAAAAACATACAAAACACAACCAAATGAAAATAAACTAATAGAAGCGTGCTGACCTAAATGAAAACAATCAACCTACTTGAGTGTGCTAGATATTCACATACGAACAACCTTCACTTCACGTCGAGGCCCTCTTCGATAAAATCCGGGAAAATAATTCATCATTCAATATTTCTAATGTAGTGAATAACTCGTACAAGAATCAACAAAATGTGGAGGATGATCATAATGAAGAAACGATTAATTAGCCATGTATACATAGTGATCAAGGACCTATATATTCTGTTCATGTACAATCTGATGATCTAGAGGGGCTACGTGTTGGATTCCCTTGACTAGTAATTAAACGGCGCCGTCGCTAGCTAGCTAGAGCTATAGATGCATGCATGTGCCAGTACGAATAATCAGCCCTGTGCATATATATTGATATTGCAGTGGATTGCACGACGTATAACTAACTACAGTTTAATATATATGCTTTGATTCACTTAATCAAATTTGTCGATCCAAAAAGCACAAAGAGGAGAAGAATTAATCAAATTAAAGTAATTAACCTAGCTCTACGACCGAGCACTAATTACTCTTGGCCTGCAGCAGGCTCGACAATTAATGTTCATGGGAATATGAGAGGTTTACCACTACTAAATCAGCTGGACTCCTCCAGGCTCCAGCTTAGCTAATAGCTATACTATTTTTGGTGAACGACTTCCATCCCCTCTAGGCTCTAGCTCAATTAACAGTTTGACACCCATTCCGTTTGATGAGCTTTAATTTCTACATATCATTTTGAGTTATTAATTATTGTTAAACCTTTTATATAATACTCATGTTGTTAACCGCTTTAAGCTGATGACGATTTCTAGAGTTACGTTTCTGCGGTACCTCGAGTTGATTAAACTTGAAAAATAATTTGTACGGTGATTAACATGATAGACAGAAGATCTGAATTGAAATATGTGACTAGTCTAGTGATGAGAATATCCTAGCTAACATTAACTTTCCACTTGATAAAATTTTGGCTCCCTGTCTAGATGTTTTTCCTATGTTGCATCGATTGAGGATTTATGTTGAAGTTTATATTGTATTTTGGTAATTTGCTAAAAGTATCAAATGACAAGAATTCTATGTCTCGTTAGAATAATCTATCATAATTAGAAGCCTCTATTTCTTTCAATTCCTCCCCAACTTGATCCTATACTATATATGTTCAATTATCTCCTTACCCTATTTTAATCGGTCTCTCAATATCACAAATTATATATGAGTAGATGCGTGATAGACTAAATGAATACTACTCTTACGTGGTGGTAATTAATAGTAACACCGTAGCACCATATTGACATAAACAAAAGTAGTAACATTAGTTGAATTTCATCGTATTTAGTCTCTTTGACAACAACCAAAAAAAACCCTAAGAAAAGATTCTGAATCATTTCAAGACAACAAAGTAAGGTTGATCTACGGTGATGAAAGCATGAAAGCAATGACACTCACAGTTAAGAAATAATATATAACACAAAAATTCAGTACTATTTAGTGACCCTGAAAATTGACATGTATGGATGTACACTATTATGGTCAAGCCTAGCTAACTGATGATGGTGAAATTAAGGACAAGACATTACAATAAAGGAGGTCGAACACAAACAAGAAGTAGTACTGTATATAAAAATAGCCTCAGATAACTCAATAATCACACTTATACATATAATTAATGATGTCCTTATCTCTCAATTGATAAAAAAATATGGGGATTTGATCATGAAGAAAATAAAAACTGATCCAAGTGGAATCATCATCATCATCATCATTTGTTTTTATTACAGTAGAGTCCATTTTCCATCTGGAAGAAGAACTCATCATCTAGAGCAGTAGAAGTAGTAGTGGTGGTGTTCATGAAGCCATCCCATGAGAACATTGAGTCCACACTATCAACCCATTGCTTCAATGACCCATAATCTTCACCATCCTCACCTAATTGAGCCTTTGAACCTGCTGATTGATGACGATCATTCAAGTCATAATTCATGGAAGGATTCATCTGGCTGCAGAGGTGATTCCCACTCGAATCCTCGATAGACGATGATGATGAGCCTTGATCGGAATTAGTACTAGTGGTGCTGTAATTGGTATTCCTACTGCTCCATGCTCCTTCCAACTCCAAGTTTCCTCCTCCAGTCATCAACACTTCATAGTTCTTCAAAAGATCTTGGTCGTCAATTATAGTCGTTTCATTTAATTTTGTCGGAAACTCGTGCTCTTTCTCTTCCACTTGTTGGTTCTCATGTTCTTCCATTAAGGTCGTGCCAATCTTGTTATCATCATCATTATGAACTCCATTTTCATGATCAAGATCAATTGGTTGGTGGGTGGCAGGGTCTACTCCAGCCATCTTGAGCTTCTTCTTGATCCTCGTGTTCCAATGATTTTTTATCTCGTTGTCTGTCCTTCCAGGAAAATGTGAGGCAATCTTTGACCACCTATACATAAAAAGAGCCAATTTTGTGTGGTTAATAACCATTCATTAGTCTCAAAAATTACAAAGAAGCCCGAAGCATTTTATTTTCATCAAGTATTTACCTGTTCCCGAGTCGCGAATGGAGCTGGATGAGTTGATTCTCCTCTGCCTCAGTGAAAGCGCCTCTCTTGAGATCAGGCCTAAGGTAATTGATCCATCTCAACCTACAACTCTTCCCACACCTAAGCAAACCTGTACATATTTGTTTAAAGAAGTGGGTTGAGAACACAATTACAATAGTGTTGCATTAAGGGAATATAATGAACCCTTCAAGAAAACGAGTCTTTTGCGACCAAAAAAGAGTCACCAACAAAAGCAACCATTGTGTTGCTTTTAGCCACCTTTCTTTGGTAGCAAAACATGTTTCCCTGTTGAAGTGTGATACAGATTGATGATAAAGTCTGAGAGTGAGAGAGAGTTGAAACCTGCAAGCTTAGGGACCATTCTCCAGCAATGGATGCCATTGTTGATGATGAAGTTCATGAGCTTGTGGTCTTCCTCGATGGTCCATGGCCCTCTTTTCAACCCAACTTTGTCACAGCAAGGCTGCCTTCCCATGTTTGTTTGTTTCTTCCTTTTGCCCCCAAGAGGATGACTAGTTCAATAACTGTGTGTGTGTGTGAGAGAGAGAGAGAGAGAGAGTAATGGAGAATCAAAAATAGAAGGAGAAGGGTACTTATAATCCAAGCAAGGATGCTTGGTGCCAGTTCATGTTCATTCTCCCCAGAGACAAAAATAAACTGATATAATGGAAGGATATTGCTGTTCTGTGAGGGGAAGACAAATGATTGGGAACTATATTAAAACAATGGGATTTGGGGGCAAGGAAAGGAAAAGTTGTACATAGCCAATAGGCATTATGTTCTGCTCATCATCACCAATATGTTCCTCTTTTCTATTGTACTTAGTTGTCAAAATGTAGTTAATTATTGGAATAATTTAATGAAAGCACTCTTGATGATTTCGTGGGTATAAGTAAAAGGGTTGAGGTAGTCTGTCATGTTGGAATAGGATTTGAAATTGTAAGTATGAAGTTGTCAAATCAAAATTTAGATTGAATATCAACGTGTATTGATTTAGTAATTAGTTCTGGTTTGGTTGAGTTGAATGAATGATGATCGTGTTATTTACTTAGATTTTTCAAATTTGTTAGTAAGACAATTTTGGGTTATAATGTTATGATATCGATGAGTTCCATATGTACTTAGATTCTCAAAGTGTGCTTTAGTTATTTCAAACTTAAAGTATGGATCAGAGTAATCATCAATAGATACAAACAATTTGAATAGATTAAAATCTCACAAGTTCAGAACGAACGCAGTAAGTGTGAATTATCTATCTATATATGTGAAGCACAATCTTTCTATAAATTTTTATTGTATATCTAGCTTTGATTTTATAATTTAATTAAAATTAATTTTATATGATCTATTGTTTAGAGCTAGCTGAAAACTCGATGGATTGTTTAGGTTTATATTGTCATATAGCTTCTCTAATCTATCATGGGCGATTCATGTAAGTTAAACCACTCGTATTTAATTTAAAAATCTACTTGATAATTTGAAAATGAAATGGCCACCATTTCCGTATATATTGCATACAATGAAGAACAACAATGACATATTGTGGATGACTGGATGTCCATTAGATTCTACGCAATATTAAATTCTATGTCGGATGCTATATTAGGAGTTATGTAACTTCCAATATTGATCATTATAATGATTCATCCCATATTTAAGTGCATCGATTGAGAAAATTATAATGTTATATACATATAAAATAGAGCATTCCATTGTGCAAAGGGATTAGATAAATAAGAAGAACACTTCCTCATTATGTGTATTTCCATCTCCACTTTCTTTTACTGTAGTTCTTCTCTTTTGTTTATAACACGAATTTTTTAAAAATTTTTGAAAAAAACCAACGTGGGTCATCTTCGTTGACAAATTATTTAGAGTACCTCATAAAAGCCTTTGTTCTTCGAGGATAAACAATACAATTTGACAATATTGAAAAAATATAAGAAATTATTATGACTGGTAAGATTCCTTGGCCCCTTCAAAGCTGGCCAGTTTTTGTCGTTGGAGTTGAACTCTTAACAAATTCTCCTCTGTTCTCTTTCCCTTCTCCCTCTAATTAGTTAGCACCGTATCAATGTAACACTAATTAAAGACCAACTTGGCGTTTGATATAGTTAATTAGTGTTTATAATAAATATGTCAACAAAAAATCACAATCAATCCCTTCACACGGAAGGCTATTGTTCAAGAGCTAGTATCAACTGCGCTCTATCTCTTATATCCAATTCATACAAATAGTAGTCATTTTGACTTTTAAGAACACGGTAACAATTCTAATAGTGTCAAATGTATATTGAAATAAATTATACGTTCTAGGTAATTATATATCTTCAAAGTCAATTAAATATTTTATTCGCATATAAAACAAATATATGTAGGTTTCAAAACTTCCATTTTCTTCTCATGTATACTCGTGTATAATTATCGACTAACTAGGTGACTAGTTCACCAAATTATATTCTAAAAAGTACACACTCAGCCAATTAAGAAGAACCCGTTTTGGACGGAAAGTGAGGGGGCAAGTGTGTTGATTAGTTTGGTGCCAAACTTTTTGGGTTCAATTTCTTAATTGGAATCAATTAGAATGTATGTCTACATATGAATGAACTTGGAGCAAGCTAGCCAGCTTCCACAGAACATTAATCGAACTTTGTTGGAGAACAAAGTCAGCTGGCCTCCAACATCTTTAAACAATTAATATTCTTAATTCAGATGACCAATTATCCAATGGATCATTAGTGAAATGAGAAGGTCTCTTAACAATAATTATGTTGTTGTTGTTCTTTGAACTTCATGCATACCCATTATAAATTGATAGTAGGGAAGCGAATATTCCCCTCAATGTGAAGATTTGCTGTAAATTTTGCACTAAATTTATTTGGAAGCTTTTGTCTGGAAGGTGAGCTACAAAATTCAAAGGTTTTGTAACCAGCCACCCCTAAACTATGCCTAACAAATTAAACTAAACAAGCATGCATGCATCATCACGGCCGGCTTTCCAGAGCTCTTGAATTTAGTTTATATACATAACAGAATAGTATATAAGATCAAATTATTGGGTCTTTTTCAATGTATAATTAAATTCAATTTATCAAAGTAATGTTAGCATCTTTTTTTTTTCGTATAAGAAATGTATGAAAATAAATATGCGACATGCATAATCCTACAAACAAATGATAACTAGAATGCATATGGACCTAGCAGTAATAGAGAAACAATGAGACACTTGCCAAACCATCCCATAAACACAAAAGACCCCTAGAATAGTACATGATTAGTTCATGATGCAATGGCGGAGCAAGAATTCTGAGTGAGAAGGTGTCAAAACATTTTAGTATCAAAGAATTTGAATCATTGTACTCTAAGAAATGTGTAAAAGTCTTAACAACTATTCTATATATCAAATTTGTTACAAATTTACTTACATATCTAATTATATTTCGAAGTTGTGAGGTTGATTGTCACGGTGGCATGTATCTCAAAACAAAGAAAAGTAAAACTACTACGAACCCTAAGGAACAAATCGCAAAGATACTCTAGAGTGGCAGAAATGTCATAGTTGTCGTTTTGGGAATGCTAAGGCTTGGTTGCGTAGCCATAATCATCATCATCACTAATTAAATGTAATTTACTATTTGCAGATTATATAATGGGGTAGTTTCTTCCTATTCCTGGGTTCTTGGGAACAAAGACATAGACTGCATAACGCCAACCAACAACGGTATCTACTTGCTGTTTAATGTTGTTAGTCCAGAATTAAAGTGAGAAATAGTGACGACAACACACAACACAACAGTGATGGTGAGAGCTCTCTCTCTAGTCTCTAGTCTCTACTGTGTCGTGTTCATCCGCAGCATCTTTTGCATCGTCCAACAGTTCCTTAAACTCCTGAATTATGGTGAACCTGATCCCGAGTAATGATATAAGCTCTAGTGGGCTTAGGTGTGTATTTTTGCGTTCATGTTTTGGCCAATACTATAGTGCCGCAATAAAAAGTGCGGCACCGGTGACGCACTCTTCTGATTGGGCCACGTAAGATATGATGTGGCAGCGGTTGGATTCATTAAACCCAATCCAACCCAATCGCTCACGAGAACTGGTCCAAACAGAAGCTGCCCCAAGTAACGGAGGAAGAGCTTCCGTCTTGCAATCTCCAACACCATCTGTCTGTTCTCTCTCTCCCTCTCCGGCAGTGTGAAATTACGACGGCCAAAGTTTAAGTTTGGCAACAGACACTTTATGGCAGAAGGCGAGAAGGGAAGGAGAAGAAGTCTGGTCGACTGGTCTTGAGTAGTGGTGTGGCATCGTTGGCAATCACATAGGACCCAACTACGAGTTTTCTTTCTTCTCCACCATTTCCAGAGGCTCTAGCAAGCTTACCTACTCAGCGCCTTCGCTTTATGGATCCCAACAAGGTAAGTATAAAAAATAGTATAGATGGCGTTATATCTCAATTCTCAATCCGTTTCATCTCTGACATCAGCCAATGAGCCGTGATTCAATGAGGTAACTGTTTCCTTTGGATTCTGAACTTCTAGAGATCTAATTTTCTTTTGGTTCCAATATCCAAATAGTTTGACTTAGATATGGTTTCATCGAATTTCGTATTGATTCGTGCGAGTTTTGTTTGCTTGTTCAGAACCGTGGCTAGGATATATACTGCGGCTTAGAACTGACGATCACAAAGGTTTAATGAATATGACAGCATCAAGAAAATCCTTTTGCATGAATTTGTAAGTCATTCTTTGATATCCTGGTTCGGATCTAGTTAACATTCTCTCCTTCTGTTTTTTTTTTCTGTTACTTCAAGCTGACATTGTATACTCGAAACTTGACACTGACTTTTACACTCTAGATAAGCAGGTGAATGGATCATCAATTTGCCGACTTTTTGTTCATTAAAACAGTTTATAAACACCATTTGTTTTACTGGTAACCGTATTTGTCACAGTTGAATCAAGAAGATCGAATGAAGGTTAAGAGCCATACTTAAAGTGGAGTCGTCCATTCTGCTGATTATGTTGAAGAAGACTTAGATTTTGTAAGCTGCCTTACTTCTTCTCATAAACTAGGAGGAAATGTACCTGGCCAGTTTACCTCTGTTCGTGCATCTTCATAAGCTGCTTCTTATCGACGTTTAGCATATGCTTCCATGGTATTTGAAATGGAAGAACCAGACCTTGATGATGACGTGATTCCTTTGTCATTATGTTATTAGTAAACTATATGAACTAAATTACTTTGTCGTTATGTTACTCCCTGATGGAGCTTTTCTTGCTCTGATGTTTGAGATTATGCTCTTGGCTTCATATATTGATTGCTTTACGCCTTTACCAATGCATTTGGGGCTTTGTGCAGCTAAGTGCTTTTTTCCAGTTGGCATATCATAAACATGGGTAGTGTCTGCAGCTAAGTGCTTTTTTTCAGTTGGCATAAACATGGGTAGTGTTATGGTATGCGAACTAGGTACCGTGA